AGGCGCGAGTCGATCGAAATATCGCCGTAAACCAACGCCCGGCATTGCAGCGCTGTTCCGGACGGACCCAGTACACGTTACGCTGAAGGACTGGCCGCACCGTGGCCTACGTGTGCTGCGTCAGGTCGCAGAGCAGCGCGATGCTCCGGAACAGGTTGCGTAAGCCAAAGTCGCACCCGCTGTTTTTGACGGATGGCGGGCCATACCAACAAATAATCGCCGACCACGCACTGGACGAGGTTCTTGAGACCGCTGCTGGAAGTCTCGATAGAGATGTGAACTAGGAGCAGACCAGAGGCCAGTGTCCACTATCTGAAAACAAATCGAATATTTTACATTTCGGTACGAACTGAGCATTAGATCATGCAAAAATTATTGCACCTTTTTAGTTTATGTAACTATGCCCATATCCAGAGTCCTCAAATGTGACGGAATACATATCAACAAATATGTTAGGTAGCATAAACCAACCAGCAAATGATGCGACATTCTACGGCACATGGTATCATAATAAGTAAATGCTCAACAGTGCTACTTGATAGACTATAAACACTCACTGCTATAAACTCGAAGACAGTGCGTTTTTATGTTTACCTGACAGGGTTCGATGGTACGATTCGCCGCTGGGCTGCCACGTTTCGGGCAAAGCCGTTTTGAGCGCCGGAGGCCAGAAGGCACAGCAGTTGCCGCTTGATGCTCAGCTGCTGAATCAGGTCGACCGGCAAGTTTGGCACGCGCCCCAATCTCGGCTTGAATGCCACAACGTCCCTCTCCCAGACCTCTCCGGCACAGGGCTTGCCGATGGGTCCAGAAAACAATTCAATCCCGTGGTCGTGCCATCCAAGCTCAGCGGCAGATGGAGGACGTTCAGCTCGCTGCCACGCAGCTGGCATATGAACCAGTGTACGGGTGACTTAGTGGCCAGCTCAAACAGCCGGAACACGTCGCCTATCGTTTCGGTGTTGACAGCCATGCCATCACAGCCGACCACATTGATGTGACCGTCGCACTGTGGGCTCACGGAGTGCAGCTCGCTGAACAAGTGCAGGGTGCGGCCGAACTCGGACGTAAAATGAGTCACGCATCGGCTGCCTGGCTCAGCGATGACAGCCACGTATTTTTCGACGGCATTCGTCTGGCTCCGTGTGCCCCATGTAGCTCCTGCCTTCGTGGCCGTCGGAGCAGAGGATGGTCAAACCCGATTCGCGGATTGCTCCAGCATTTTGACGAGCCGCCTCTTTTTCCCCTCTGTCTCTTGTGCAGCGAATCTTCTTAGGATCTACAATATTTGATTTCAAGTAGCCAGTCAATCTCTGCTGTCTTGTTGAAAGACGATGATAGCAGCAGCGACCCGTTTCGAGCCACCATAGCTGTCAACCGCCAGAGCGGTGTTAGTCAGATCATAAACGTTATAATCTACAGTGGCCGTGGTCTCAACGGAAACAAACAATCGGCGTCTGCCGCCCTTTTGCACCATGCACAGAACAGTGAATGAATATATGATTTATTGCTCTCAACTGACTCGCCAGCGCTTAGACCACTTGGTCCCGGAGCGGGCTCGGGGTTAGCACTAGCAGCCATCACTGGCTCAGCAGGCGGCGCGGGCTCAGCAAGCGGTGGGGAAGGCGACTCAGGTTCAGCAGCAGACACCGCCTCACTGGCGGCCGAACCACGACGCCCTGAAGTTGTTCGGCGACCCTCCGCATCTCGCGAGCCTCCCTAGTCACAATTGCATCCCGGTCATATGACCCCAGGGTAAGCTTCTGGTGCATGCACTGGTCCTTCATGGCAACCTCCTCCTGATACAATGAACAGGCAACTGGGCATGGAATGCTGCACTGAGGCTTGCACTGGCATTTTGCGACATCAAGAAGCTTTTTGAATTTCGCGGTGGCGGCGTTGCTGTGTCACTCTCTTTCAACTTACCTGCAATTAAACTTCTTGTAAGTTGGGGCACTTACGGTGACCTCTGACCTGACGCAAGGATATTACTTCTGGACAGAATGGCTATCGACCATGGCGCATTGATTGGTACAGGCCTCGTGCCGATCAGTCGCATACACTTAGAACATGAGGACGTCTACCGACAATCTTGAAGATATCGGGCGTTTTTTTGATGACACTTGACCTGACAAATTGTCACCATGTTGAGGAAAGGAGAGGATTCCAGTGATGGTGCATCCATGAGTGAAAGTGTTGTACTGATATGTTCCATACGCTTGGAGATAGGGATGTTTTAGGTCAAGTTTTCCACTTTTTGAAATTTTTGGTGACCCCTGACCTATCCCAGGGTCACCATGGCCTGAAAAGGGCAAGCTATCGACCAAGCGACATCAAATTATAAATGTTTCGTATTGGCCGGTGTCATAGGTTCGGAGGATGGGATTGTGAACAGGTTTGGTGGTTGTTTCCTCTCTCCCGTTCTTGGAGACTTAGGCGCAGAGAAATTTGTTGCACTGATCGTGACGTCATGACGTCATATCTTCCGGTGACGTCATAGCATCCGGTGATGCTTCCGGGATATGATGCTTTGTAGCCTTGGGTGGCCAAGTGACCTACTAACTCATAATCATGGACGTCACATACTCGGGTGAATCGGCAGAGCCTTCATATAGCACGCGAATGCTTGCAAAATGTAGCCAGGTACGAAAGGTAAAGATGGAACATGGCCTGTTGCGCCTGAGGTTAAGTCGAATACCAGTGTCGTCATATCGCCAGCTGATGTATTATATCTTATAGGGGATTCAAAACAGCCAGTAAAAAACTATGGCCAGTGACGCCACACACTTGGAGATTTCACAGAGCCTTCCTTCAGTACGCCGATGCTTACAATAGACAGGTACGAAAGGTAAAGATGGAATATGGCCTGTCGGGCCTGGAGTTAAGTCGAATACCAGTGACGTCATACCGTCAGATGATGCTTGATGGCCTTCAGTCAACCCGAATAAACCCGTGTAAACTCATAACCAGTTACACCACACGCTCCGGTAATTCGGCAGAGCCTTTATGTGGCGCGCAAATACTTGCAGTAGATAGGTGCGAAAGGTAAAGACCAAACATGGCTTATTGCATATGATGTTTAGTGGAATACCAATGACGTCATATTGTTATCTGATACCTTATGGCGTAAGTCGGTCCAAAAAGGCCCGTAAAAACCCATGGCCAGTGACGTCACCCACTCAGTGGATTACCAGTGATGGCATATCGTTAGCTGATACTCTAGGGCCTTTATTCAGCAAAAAATAACCTGTGAAAGCAGATGACGTCGCACATTCAGGTGACTTGGCAGAGCCATCATTCAGCTCGCCAATAGTTTTACAGGTACGAAAGGCCAAGGTGGAACATGGCCTGTTGCGCCTGATGTTAAGTCGAACACCAGTGACGTCATATCGTCAGCTGATGCATTATGCCGTACAGGGAATACAAAAGATCACGTAAAAAGCTCTTTACCAGTGACGTTACACGTTCAGGAGACTCGACAGAGCCTTCATTCAGCATGTCAGTGCTTGTAAATGACAGGTACGAAAGGTAAAGATGGAACATGGCCTGTTGCGCTTGATGTTAGGCCGAATACCAGTGACGTGATATCTTCCCGTGATACTCCACGGGATATGATGCTTTGTGGCTTTGGGCTGCCCCAGTGAACCTGTATGAACTCATGAGCAGTGACGTCACACACTTAGATGATTCAGCATCGCCTTGATGTAGCACACGAATGCTTGCGGTAAACAGGTGCGAAAGGTAAAGATAGAACATGGCCTGTTGTACTTGATGTGTAGTCGAAAGCCAGTGACATCGTATCATCAGCTGATGTCTTGTCGCCTGTAGTGGGTTAAAAAAAGCATACAAATTAATGGTCAGTGACGTTACGCACTCAGGTAATTCGGCAGAGCCTTCCCTCGCACGCCAATACTTGCAGTGGATAGGTACCAAAGATAAAGGCGGAACATCGCCTGTCGCGCCTGAAGTTTATTCCAATACCAGTGGCATCATATCGTCAGTTAATGCCGTATGACCTTTCGTCGGCCAAAAAGAGGCCGTAGAATCTTATGACCGGTGACATCACACACAGTCGAATGCCAGTGACGTCACATCGTTAGCTGATGCTTTGTGGTCTTCAGTTGGCCCCCAAAAATCCGCCAATACTTGCAGTAGACAGGTACGAAAGGTATTGGCACGTTGTCTGATGTTCAGCCGAATACCAGTGATGTCGTGTCGCTAGCTGATGCCTTACGGCATTCCGTCGGTCTAAAAGGGCCGGTAAAAACCCACGACCATTGACGTCCCACAATCAGTCGTATAGCAGTGACGTCGTTAGCTGATACCTTGCGGCCTCCAGTCGGTCCAAAAACACCGGTGAAACTCGTGACCAGTAACGTCACACACTCCGGTGGTTCGGCAGCTTTCATTCAGCACGACAATTCTTTCAGCAGACAGGTACAAAGGTAAAAATGAAACACGGACTGCTTGCGCCCAATATTTATTCGAATACCAGTGACATCAGGCTATCCGGTGATACTTCACGGAACATGACACACCGTGGCCGTGAGGCCTATGTACACTAGTATCAAGTGATGGCTAGTGGTGTCAGGCATTCAGGTGATTCGGACAAACCTTTATTGGGCACGCAAATGCTTGTAGCAGACGGGTACGAAAAGTAAGGATGGAACGAGGCCGGTTGCGCCTGATGTTTAATCGAATACCAGTGACGACATATCGTCAGCTGATGTCTTACGGCATTCAGTCGAAGCAAAAGGGTCCTAAGAATGCACGACCAGTGACGTCACGCACCCAGGCGAATACCAGTGACATCATATCACTAGTGAAAGCCTTATGGCTCTCAGTCGGCCCAAAGAACCCCATCCCGATCACGGCAAAACCATTTTCAGTGATGTCACAAGGTCAGCTGATGCCTCATAATATTCTCCAGCACGAGCAGTACACGAAACCCTGCAGCCAGCGTAGCTCTTCCCTTCGTCGGCCGTACAGGTAAGAAAGCTGAGCCATTTACATCCCAGATTGGTTTGGATCGTATGGCCGCACCAAGGGGAGCGCCGGTCACGGTTATTCCTGGCTAATGTAAAGTAGACGTCGTGGTCAGTATAGGCTAAGGTGTCGTGTCATGGGGTGAAGCAGATTTTGTTGGCACGTGGTTAATGACAATGTGACAGTCAAAACAACAGTATGTAAGTTTTGGTTTCACAAAATTGTGCTATCGGTGCCTGGCCTTCTGCCTGCTGCTGTGAAGATGTTCACAGATATGGGCTGTAAGATAAAAAAGCCCTTCATGACAAGCTTATCTTCTACAAACCATGGTGAAAGGGGCTATAGTGTTGTATGCATGCTATGGCTATGAATCTGATCATGTGAGGTTTTTCTCACATACAATTAAACACCAGGTGAAATAGCCTCAGCCAAGTTATTAAGGCCAGCCTGGGTGTAAGTTTTCTTAGTCTGAGGCTGAGCATGGGATCTTTTGTATCTGAGTTGTAAAGATTTGCTGGATCAAGCTTGGTTCGTATTTCTTTTGATTAAATGTAATGGGAAGGGCCTGATCATACAATTCACAAGGTATTTGTGCCTCATATATACACCAACCAATCTTTAGCTGCTTGTCTATAATACATGGCTAGTGACTAAACCAGCCAGCTCTTGCAGTGTCTGTAGCATAGGAAGATGAAACTGAATCTAAAGCCACTGACTGAGGTTTGCTCACATTAAACCTGGTAAAGTCACCCTTCAGAGGAGACATGAAGTCAATACTGAATCATAATTTAAAATGGAATCAGGTCAAATCCCAAGAATCTGGTGTGCAACATATTTTAGAATTTATAGAATCAAATCTATCTTTGCATGTACTTAAATGATACATGATCAAGAAATATCCACACAGTCAGGGTGTACTTTCCTACCTCATGTTACAAAAGAGCATTGTACATCAGTCATTGTTTTTAATGCAGAACATATCATAATTGTAAAACAGGTCATCTATACTCTTACCATGGAACTTAACTAATTACGATACAGAACATCTGACCGCCGTAAACACAGCAGCCGCGACACCGGTGCCATTACTGCGCATGATCACATTACTGGGCATCAAGCAGCATCAAGAACCACAAAAGTGTCTGGGGGGCCAAGGAAACAAGAATCCATGAAATTTGATCCTGGACACCAACGGGACAATGGGTTGCAGGGGGGATTGGGTGGGTAATGTAAAGCAAAATGAGAACATGGCAGCTAAATAAAAGCTCACTATACTGTACCTATATATGGCTAGGGTGGGGAGGTTAGGTTAGGCTAGGCTAGGCTAGGCTAGGCTAGGCTAGGCTAGGCTAGGCTAGGCTAGGCTAGGCTAGGCTAGGCTAGGCTAGGCTAGGCTAGGCTAGGCTAGGCTAGGCTAGGCTAGGCTAGGCTGGGCTGGGCTAGGCTGGGCTGGGCTAGGCTAGGCTAGGCTAGGCTAGGCTAGGCTAGGCTAGGCTAGGCTAGGCTAGGCTAGGCTAGGCTAGGCTAGGCTAGGCTAGGCTAGGCTAGGTTAGGTTAGGTTAGGTTAGGTTAGGTTAGTTAGGTTTTAGCTTAGCTTAGGTTCTGGTCTATTCTCAGTTAGGTTAGGTTAGGTTAGGTTTGGTTAGGTTAGGTTAGGTTAGGTTAGGTTAGGTTAGGTTAGGTTAGGTTAGGTTAGGTTAGGTTAGGTTAGGTTAGGTTAGGTTAGGTTAGGTTAGGTTAGGTTAGGTTTGGTAAGGTTAGGTTAGGTTAGGCTATGTTCTGGACTGTTCTGGCCTGTGTGTTTCATAAACGTACCTAAACGTGACAGGAAACGATTTTCATTGCATTATTGTTATCTTTGTCCCGTACATTTTTCATAGTTCTTGGTAAGCAGAAATAGTGTAATTACGCAATGGCAGCGCATAAACGACGGTGGGGAGTCCAGGCGGTGCGGTGCGTGCGGCGCTCGGGAGCTCGCCACCGAAGTTATCAAAATTCGAAGGTAGGAGCATGATTCTACCTGTTTTGAGATTTTTATGATATGTTCTGCTTTAAATATGACAAATGGTGTGCAATAATTTTTTCTAACGTTAGGTTGGAAAGCAGACCTACACCATCCACACGGTTTCACTTGATTTTGGACAGGGATTGGGAAAGTGGTTTCACTTGGTGATTGGGATTGGGAAAACTTCATGAAGCCGAAGCCAGATCCTGCTTCCCATGCCTGCTGCACTGATTGTTTCATTGGCCCCCATCACAATTTCGGACCAGTAATGTGACAAGCAGGTTTAAATGAAGTTGTCTAGATCTGTGTTGAAATAAGATGGAGTGCTAAGTGGCAAGAAGTAACAAAAGAAATGTTAGATAAGGAAACACATTTGTGTATGATATTGGTCCTCAGGGGCATAGTTTGTTCACAGTTTGGTGCATGCAACATGTACTAGATGCAGCCCATTGAGAGTTGTAATGTTTTCTTTATGCATACCAACTACTTGGTGGTCAGTTCAGTAACTGCTTCTTCACTGGCTTGCCCAGTGCATCAGGAGTTATTTGCCTTGCCAGTTAGGAACCAGTTGGTTTAGTTTCAGTCACCAGCCACCAGTTGGACAGCTGTTATGAGCAGTCTGTGATAACAGGCTCTTGTCGTGACTCAGCATTTGTAACATCATTCCATGGCTGTTAGATGTAGCATTATTTTACTAAACTTTGATTCCTGTGAATACCATCTGCAAAGACCACATGACCACATCTGACCATGTTCTATCCTGTACCCCAATATGTAAACTAACAAACAGCATCTTAGTGGTGGCCTCATGGTCTTAAAATGGTTGGGCACCCCTCAGAAAGTGTAGTTGGTCACAGATAAGCTTCTATTCCTGGTCATAGTCTCATAGAGTGTGGGTTCTGGCACTTGTGTACAATTTCTGGTTTGATTTTGGCACAAACATATAGCACTTGAGAAAGCCATGTTGACCATTCTCTCTAAAATTGTTGTTTATTGAGCATGAAGCATATTGGTCATGTCTCTTCACCCTTGCTTTGCACATTCTTATGGCAATTTTAATGCTCAGATGCTCCACTGCATACACTTCTTGATTGCAAGATTTGCAAACTTAATGTAGAGCACTGCTGCCTCAGGTGGGAGCCGGATCAGCAGCAGTGCCGGGACCTGCGTGAGCGTCTGAACAGCCGCCGCCAGCAGGACACCTGTCGGCAGGAGTGTGGCCGCGCCCGTCAGTCACGCTCCAGGTCAGCGCATGCTGACAAGTGAGTGCCCTTTCTGAGCCCATGAGGCCGAGCCCCTTGTTCGCTTGAATGTTTGCCTTCAGCCCACACGCTAAAAGCAAACACCGTTCTTGAGCCGTGTAGATTGAACTGTCGAAGTTTTGGCAGTCTGGCTGCTCACCATCTCTGTGAGTTTCGCTGAAGGTTGTGCAGGGTAAGCGACTGTGTATCATAGTTCACACAGTTTGAGGCAATTTACATGTGTCTTTCCACACCTGGTACAATTACGAGTCATTGCCTATGCGACGCCATGAGTACTAGGTAGCTGGTCATCTAATTGAGGTTTCATGTCAGCTCCAGTGTAACGGTCCGTCCCAATGGATCAATCGGTTAGAGTGACTGCCTTCCGATCCACCCAACCGTGGCGGGGTGAGCTCGAGTATCTGTAGGCGATCGCTATTTACACATGACAGGTATGCCCTGCGGCAGGGGCCGCGCTAAAGGTTAGTCAGAGAGCAGGACGCACCGGACAGCACGGAAAAATGATAACAAACGGGCGCTCGGCAGGGAGGATGGCGTGGAGACAGCGGTCAGGTCAGGGCATCACAGCAGCCGGCGGCAGCGTTCCCGAGACCACTCAGCCTCGTCATGGCCCCGGTGGTGGCCCGAGGACGGGGCTTCGGAGAGGTCCCGGCGTCTTGATAGGTGAGTCGAGAGAGGCGTTGGGGGCCTAATTCTCCTGTGATTCTGGTGCACAACCAGTGGCCACGGCAGGTTGACTGTTCGATGTGTGGCCATGTCGCCACGTTTCACAACTAGCTCACATACCGTGATATACTGTCGGGACACTTCACGTGAAAAGTGGTCGTACGGAGGCTCAGCGAAAAACGTGACGCTGGCGATAATGGGGATCACTTCCAGTACATGTATATCGTGGGGATTCGCCCGTGGCTCCGTGAGAGCAGAAATTAACGTTGGGGCGCGGCTTGCTCCAGCTCGTCATCCACTGGCGCGCCGTTCGTGCGAGAGACGGACCCGGTCATCCTGGCGCGACGACAGAAGCAAGTCGACTATGGCATGAACACTTTGTGCTACCAGGAGTACATCCAGACGGTGCCCAGGTGAGTGGTTCCAGCTAATGCTGACTAGGACGGCCGGCTACTTTGTCGCGTTGTTGCCGATAGCGACGCACCTGGGGGGTGCTGGTGGCGGCGCACGTAAAACATCCGCCACAGAGAAACGCAGTCAGCCGACCCAACCAGTGCATTTATGTCTCCGAGTCGCTCACGCTGCGAAACTTCATGGTATGAGTGCGTCGCCGCTTCCATCACTGTACGATGCGGCTACCGTGTGGTGACGGCTGCTGCCTCACGTGATGCGGCTACCGTGTGGTGACGGCTGCTGCCTCCACATGATGCGGCTACCGTGTGGTGACGGCTGCTGCCTCCACGTGATGCGGCTACCGTGTGGTGACGGCCGCTGCCTCCACGTGATGCGGCTACCGTGTGGTGACGGCTGCTGCCTCCACGTGATGCGGCTACCGTGTGGTGACGGCTGCTGCCTCCACGTGATGCGGCTACCGTGTGGTGACGGCTGCTGCCTCCACGTGATGCGGCTACCGTGTGGTGACGGCTGCTGCCTCCACGCCGTACCCTGTGATGACGGTCGGTGTCCCCGCGTGCGCCGGCAGGCACCAGCGCCGACCGTACCATCCGAGAACGCCGGACAAAACGCGTCAGACCAGCCGGCGCCGCTGGGACTCGGCCATCAAAAACTGGCGCATTCAGCTCCACTACTGGAATGAGTGAGCCGCCCCTGGGCTGGGAACGGCCTGAGTCTGACGCCTCCAGCGCGTGCGTGTGGGCGTGTTTGATCAGGGTCAGGCAGCATGCTCCAGGCGCTGTTGCCAGCAAATTTGTCATACTTGCTGTTGGAATGTCACGGGACTACAGAAGTCAGCCAAGTCAGATAACTCCATCACTAGGCGGCTGCGGCGCCAGGCCGGCAGCGTGTGCCGACTTTTGTCCGGTGGCTCGAAAGCTCAAATTTGCCATTTGTCAGCGAGTCTCGGTGCAGTCCGTGCTTCGGACGTTGCACCACATGTTACATATGTTGGTCCTAAGTTATGTACGTTGGTATCAAGCAGGTATTTGCAAACATCCACACTGATTCAGGAGGTGATGCGGAAGGCACTTTACTTCTCCAGCATTAGAAGACCTTGCTATTCGGCACTGAGTTACATTGTTTTAATCCAACTGGAAGACTGATGAATAACAGCAGAGGCAAGAGTAGTCGCTGAGTGTTGCATGCGGTGCGGTGTACTAACATAGCATCCTATCACAGCCCAGTGAAGCTAGCAAAGCTCCGCAGCCGCCGGAACTCCGACTCGGAACTCTCCGATTGGGAGCCACCGGGGCCAGCCAGCTCTGGCGCCGTGCCGAAGCCAGAGCCGGCCGACGCGGGCGCGGAATCTGCGCTGGTGCTGCCGCCGGGCACTGTCAAGCGGGAGCCGCTGTCGACCGGGGCGGCCGCGGCCAAAGCGGAGCGTCCGCAGCTGGAGGCGATACAGCCGGCGCTGCTGCCGGCGGCCCGACGCCCCGCCAAGCAGGAGCCGCTATCGACCGGGGCGGCCGCGGTCAAAGCGGAGCGTCCGCCACTGGAGGCGATACAGCCGGCGCTGCTGCCGGCGGCCCGACGCCTCGCCAAGCAGGAGCCGCCCTCAGCCGGCGGCCCTCCGGTAAAGACGGACAAGTGGCGGCCGCCGGCTGCTGGACAAGATCTGCCGGCAGAGGCTGAGCACCCGGTCAAGGAGGAGCCCGTCTCGCAAGAGGACGAGGACGGGGTCGACCGACTGCTCACCTGGGCGGACGACGTGGAGGGGCTGGCGCAGGAGCTGACGGACGACCTCTGCTGAGATGGTGAATGGTTTTGACGACCCCCTCCTGTTTGTCGCCACAGGGATTATCTTTTGAACACCTGTCAGGCCTTACGTGAACGGTGAACTGGCATGAACGATGGCGTGTTCTTTTACCGCGGTGATTCTGCATAGGGAATAAAACGGTGTTACGTATGACCCGCTGTTTGATGCATTAGCCGTTTTGCAGAGGCTTAGTTACATGTTAGACGTTGGCACACCTGGACAGCAGGGGGACGTCAGTTGTGGCCCATGTTGTAACGACCGTGAAGTCTCAGACCTTAGACAGATGGGATCTATGCTGTCACTGCTGTGCATGGTGTCGCTGCTGTGCATGTTGCGCGAGGCCGCATATGGGGTGTATTCTTCGGCTTGACCTCGAGCTAGATTGCTTAGTGGACACATTTTAGCTGTTCTGACCCGTCTGCACGTATTTGCTCTTTAAAAGTTTTAAAGAACAACGCGCCTGACACCGAAATCCCTGCGTGTCAAACAATTCGTCCGTCCCATTGGAACGTTTGTTCGATAAAGCACCGCCAAGAACACTCCTTAAAGTAAACCGGAGAAATCCGGCGCCGGCGAAGGGCACGTTTTAGACTGGCCGTCGTTGCCCCTACCCCGCAAGGCCGTGTTCCGGAAACACTCGCCGACGTCGGTGTAATACGGTTATATATATATATATATATATATATATATA